ACATTGCCCACTTCCGATGTGGGACTAATAGGATGTTACACTGCCTGTTCAAAATGTTCCACGAAACTCAAAAGATCAGCCTATTAATAGAGTCCATGGCCAAGCCCAATCCAAGCACTGTGGACATGGATACAACATTTCCACGTAAGAGAAGATATCAGTGGCAGTGCCCTATGAATCATCCACCCCAACCCCCTCTGGCACAGAAAACTTCAGACCATGCTTTACAAGTACCACCACTAGCTTTTTAACAGTTGACTGTTGTTTATTCAACCAAAAGGAGGGCAGTTCAGTCAACAGACTCCCATTTGAGCCAACAGCAAAATTTGATAGTCGACAGCTCGAAAAATTAAGACATAAACCATGGATTTCAATACATACAATTATCCTACACCATCTGCATGGTCAAATTTGCTGTGTGTGAAATGTGCCACACCCCTCTTCATGTAACTAGGGCTGTATTCTTGCATATGGGACACAGATTCTTGTGCATTAGCCATTGCTTGATACAAACAGTGTGGAAATCATGCCCACAAGCCAAGGTGCCGAGGTCCTCACCTTCCACATATTCCTCCTGAGAAAAAGCAACCGAAATATAATACGCCGTCAGCTGGGAAAAAAATCAACAGGTATGATGAGATTAAACGGAACAAATACCTGACAGATACAGCATGGTTCATGTTCCATAGATACTCCAAGTGTACCCAATGAATGCTTCTGCTGTTTAAGGTGCTTCAAAATTGTTTCTTCACTCAATCCGGTGCAAACATCTCCTATCCGTTCTTCCAATGCCAGGAGTTCCTTCAATGAAAATTGCATTTGGGTTCAGCAAGTTGTCCGTCTGTTAAAATTCCTACAACATATTGGAAGTTCATACCTCATATGACATGTTATCAACATCAAGACGCATGTCCCTGTGCCTGTCATGCATATCGCTGCCCGCCAAAATGAGAGTCTGATCAAGGACAAAGACATCCTGGCCAGTTAAAACCAAACATATCGAACCCCACAAAATGAGACTTATGGTACCATTTGTGGAGTCCTTGAATAGATCAATGATGTATTGTCAACATTATTGTAATATCAACAAGTTGTACAAATAGATTTGCTCAAGGATTAGACAATCAAAGAGCAATAAGAAGAGGCTAAAACAAAAAATTGAAGATACGGATTTCATTTGATCAATATGGTAATTCCATTTTACAAAGAGAACATATGTGACTTTGGAACTCTCGACCTACCAGCTGGCCTTCTAAGTTTTGACAAGCTTAAAATCAAGTTTGCAGCAGGTTAAAAGAATCTTTATAATTCCTCCAGGTAGCCATACAGAGTGGCAGAGTGCTCTGCAGATGTATCCCTAAACCTATAATATTGCAGAGTGGCAGAGCACACGTTTTGGCAGTGCTGGAGGTGAGGATGATGCCGATCGATGGATTGAGGATGGAAGCATACGATCAATGGCAGGAACTAACAACCTGCTTCCAGCAATAGTTGAGCTAATCTATCAGAAACAATTATTTGTTGTGTCGTTTCAAAGTACCGTATGATTTTGACTACCAACTTTTATGTTTACAAAGTATGGTGAAAAAAAATAATTGGGCTCTAAACTCCAGTGTGGTCTATGTACTCTGATCCTGCACAAGCCAGACCATAGGAATCTTTACCCTTACTAGCATCTCCCTCTCTTTTAAATACCTTGCTATTTCTGATTATGTAGAAGAAATTGCCCAAAAACTGACCTCAAACCGAAGACCATCGCCACGGCGCAGGGATTCCAATGCATGACGAATCTGGTGCAAAGGGAAAATGTAAGCACACAATGAAAACTTGGAATAATTCCATGGAGATAAATTCATCAGTAACTATACACATACAATATTCCAACTAAACAAACATTTCCGTCCAATCTGAGATGGTAAGCAGCTAGGTACCTTACATTATAGATTTATCTTTACATAAAAGATAGGAATCATAAGTTTATAATATGCAGTAAAAAGAAATAATTTTCAGACTCAATATCAGATGAAGTAAATCTCCACAGAAGAGGGAAATCTTTTACCACATTGAAACAAGAAAATTAAACAAGAACATCCACCAAGGAACTGCTATTTCAATGAAGTGGCTGCTGTTCTTTTAGGGTGTCGAAGTGGCTGCTGTTCTTTTAGGGTGTCAAGCTACCTAAGAATGAAGTAATCAACAAGCTATAAATTAAAGTTGATGATTAGTACTTATGCTCCGGAGACAGGACTTCCCAACAGAACATAGGAATCTTTTATGCTCTGATGAGGAGAGCAATATCTCTTTATATTGGATAGGGTAATATAATGTATTCTTATTTTGGAAAAAGAAACCATGATTCAGTATAGGTAAATCTTATGCAGAATGTAGATGAGAATGGTTAGACCTTGTAACAGGAATGAGAAGAAAAAGAAAAGAATGGACTGATGGTGAAAAGAAAATTTCAATTTGTCTACTCAAAAGATTGACCATATAAAAGATTATGCTTCAGAAACCCAAGAGGAACTTCTGATGACAGTTTATACATCATCTTTCTGTCTTTCACCTTATCAACTTGATGTTCTTTGACAGTGAAATATGTGAATAATGGTTTATTTTCATCAAATACTCCAAAGGAAATATAATTATTATAGATGAAAGACCCTAAATCATCATTGACAATTCAAAATGGCATATAAATTTCAACCCAGAGAAGACAAATGACAAGTCGCCAGAATTTGTCCAGGGTTGTCAAGTATTACAATGAACAGTTTTTGGAGATATTGGCAACTATGTTCACAAAGATAAAGGCTTCCTACTGGACAACACATGGGCAAGAAAATGTGATCTGAATGTAGACTTATCAAAATTAATAATTATCTTTATAATAAGAATTGATTGTTTGACTTCTGCAAACATGTCAATGTATTCATGGTGTATTAGCAAATACAATAGCATCATAACATTGTACTGGGAACAGCATTTTTCAATAATATCGTAACATTATCCAGTCTGTATCCTTCATAACTCTAAATCACTGGCTCCAAATATTTGTTCGACGATCAAAATAATAATGGCACTAGACTAGTTGAAAGAAGAAGATGACATTGCATAGGATAGGTTTGTTAGTTATAAATTTATTACCAACACTATACATGAGATGATCAATGAAGATATTTGTGAGCCAAGACCAAAAGATGGGAAATCCTACCAAGGGTTGCCCTAAACTCTCTCGGACCTTGGTGATGCCTAGGAACACTAATGACCAATGAATCCATTTTAGAATCTTATTATCATAAATTCAACGGATTTATTTTAAAAAGTATAATGTTACCCAGGATACAGAAGATGCACTAAAAAAAATACATGTTCAAATGTACTCAGGAAAGAATAATACATAAATGTTCAAATGTACTCAGCAAAGAATAGTCCACAACAGAAAATATCTTAATTATATGAAAAAATTGGTTAAGGACATGCAGCTGTTAAACTTAACAGATACCTCAGATAACATCCTACTTCTCTCTTCCCCTGCAGCTGTTAAACTCCTCATGGTTAAGGATGCACCCAAAAGACCATCATACCGCCTTCTTATCAGATGAGTTGACCTGATGTGTGGTGGTGTCTGCGGGCCATGCAAACTAGCTCTAATCTGCTGAGCTACCTCCTGTGAACTAAAAGAGTGACCAGAATGTTGCATAGGAAAGTTAGCACGCTGACCTCCAGACTCAAAGCTGCCAGATGATAGCAATGATGCATGAATATTCTCTGGTAAGGGTTGTGGATATTGGGCGGGAGGATTTTGATGAGAAACCCAAGTGGATCCTAATGTAGGATGGAGCCCTGAGTTTGTAACAGCTTGTGAACTAGGAACCATGCTTATATTTCTGCTACCCATACTCCAGTTTGCTTGATCTTGTATCATGTCCCTTATATCTGTTACAGGAACAACATCCAAAATGCTGGTTCCTGGCATATTCCTCAAGTTATTTCCCTCTCTAGCAGCAATCATTCTGTCCTCTGTACTAAAAGAGACTGATGAAATGCCAATTCTTGAATTGGAAGTTCCATTCCATGGAAAACTGTATGCAATTGGGGGTACTCCGGGAACAATTGGTGGACCAGGTTGGTTTTGTGAACTTGCAGTTGTAAGGAGTGGTGTAGGCCCCAGGGAGTGATTCAGTGAAATGGAATGAGAAGGTGGCCGATTTTGCAACCATGCTTCCAATTGCCCAACTGTATCAACTGAATTCCGCAGAGAGATGTCTTGTGCCTGTGCAGGGTTAGTTCTTATTCGGTGATTTCTTCGTGAACTTTCAGCATTCCCTGCTGCATTTGCAGAGGGATAGCAGTTAGAGGCCGTGCCTCTTATAACATTAGCAAAACCTGCTGGGTACTCTTCAGTGAAATGTGCAGCAGATGGATAACTTGATGTGCTAGAAATATTCAAACCAGTCATAGGATTATAACTACGAGAATGAAGCAAGCTGGTTTCGCTTTGGTGGGAAGAGCTTGCATTTCCGCTTGCTGAAGACTGTCCAGGGAACCCATCGCTATTCTTTCTCTTGCAGGATGAGCGTCGTCCATCCAATGAATTTTCTGGTCTTTCATCATCTTCTCTCAAAAATCCAACACTCTCAGAAACACTGCCACTAGGATTGGATGAACCAATTGAAGATGGAACAGTTTCAGGATCTAAAAAGCGCAACATATAAGGATGATGAGATTGCCTTGGCTCTGAGATTTCATTGCCTATACCATCTTGAAGAGCAGCATGTTCTGAGTTCTGATGTATGTTGTTGGAGTGGGAATTATTTCGGGGAAGGGATTGGATACCATCAATCTGTGTTGTACCATGACTAATGTTAACGTTCTCCAAAGAAAGCACATGGGAAGCTTCAAAACGATTTTCTTCTATTCTAGGCCCACCTTGGGAAGTAATTGTTGCAGATGGTGTCCACCCAGTATCCAATTTATTCTCCTCATGGCCCCCCTGGTTTTGAGCATGTTCACTCGAACTAGATCCACCTGTGTTCCAAATGCTCAATCGAGCACCATCTTGATTAGCCATATTTAAGCATGGCCTATTTGAATTAGCAGAGGATACTATACGATCTGTCATGCTCTGGATCTCTACTGGATTAAAAAGCATGTTATTCCACATGAATTGTTGATTCACGCCAGAGCTGGTTGTATTGGATCCGTGGTCAAATTCAAAGGAATCATGGAAGGGTTCAACAAAACTCCTTTGGCCTTGCATCAAAGCAAGCGTACTTTCTTCTAAATGGCAGCCAAATATGTCCTGATTTAGTAAAAACAAAGGCAGTAAACAATTCCGGTAAATTCAATCGCCACAAGAAACAACAAGAAGAAATCATCCTTTAGTCCCGATGTAAGGAAAAAAGAAGTCATCAAATGGATTATTGACCTTGGAAATTTTAAACATCATTGGCCTAAATGATAAGCATTTGCCGTCATAAACAGATGGTCAAAATTTCCAGTCCATTTTTCCTAAAATCAAAGGATCTATCGTGTACATGGCTTCTTATGTCATCCTTTTCAAATAAAAATTCTCTTTTTTCATGAGTGGTGGGCATCATAAGTTTATACAATTCAGCATCATGTAAATCAATTCATTGCTTGTTTGGAATCAACATCCTAGCAATCAAGAAATGTGATGCTGCATCCACCAGTCATCACACGAAACCCAATTTTGCATCTTTATTGATTTGTGTTGAAATCCAATAGAACCTATTGGAACACAGTATAAGGGTATGCATATCGAACTATGACTTGAACCATAATGCCAATATCTTGGATGACACTTTTATCTTTAACTTATAATACCATTTCATAATAGAATGCCTGTAAAAATCATAATAAGAAAATAACAGGATATGTAGATCAATATTCAAAACTTCACAATTTATAACAAAAAGACTATTTACCTTTCTTCCTCAGTGTACATGATCAATCAGTTCATCGTATTAGGTGTTACTTGTTCTATCTCAATTATCTATGTGATTCAATCGAGTAAATTATCATCATACAAAAACAAACATCAGCTCTAGAAAAAGACTTCTAGTTCAAAAACTGATTGTTTGACAAATATCAAACAATTCAACACAACCCAATTGGTAAATCAAAAGGGTTGTGGAATCTGTCAGCAAAGACTAGACAGTAAAGTGAAAATGCTGCAGATAGAAACTGAGAAGTTGTATTTGCAGAAGGCAGGGCTTCTAGTGCAGAGAAAACAGGAAATCAATGAATCATCAAAACATAATTCTCATTAACAGGTAGTGAAAAATGTAACATATACTTCCTAACCAAGACAATTAAATAGCCAGAATAGCCACAAGGAACAATCAGCCACAACTAATGATTAGAAAGAAAACACAAACCAACTATAGTAATTGAAGGCCATCAATGGTCAACACCTTATAACTAAAGCAAAATTCATAGTGTCTTATATCAAAAATTATATTTAACAAACATACACAAAAGGAACAATACATTCCTATAGAAGATCTGCTAAGCTTGAAAACTGAAATTCCATTAGAACTCAAACTAATTTTGAGAGCCAGAAAATAAAAAATGGATACTTTTGGAATATCTTTTTTAACATAGAAAAGAGATGTTCAGTGCATGAAGCGTCCAATATGGAGGAATCATATGACAATTATTATTAAAAAGATACATGCATATTAAACAATGTAATAATATACATTTTCCACCCTCCGACAACAAGATGAATATAAAAATGACCTATTGAGCTATTCAATGGCTACAGTTGTGAACAACAGAAAAGAGAATATATATATATATATATATATATAATTTTGGAGACTGCAACAGGTATCGTAAATGACCAGCCTTTAGAAAACTATACAACACCAAGTGGGGTTAAAACAAAAGTCAACAGTAAAAAATGATTGGTATAAGAGTCCAGGTGATAACATTTACAAAGTGAATGATCCAAGCATGATCTTCCTCGAATTACTATATCAAAAGCACCTAAAAGGCATCTGAAAAAACAAACATGGCACAACCTCAGAAGTTCCTTGAGATGTGAAGAGAATTTGAAAAGAAAGAAAGGTAAGATTCGACATATGAAGATGTACACACAGGTACGGCTCAAACTATAAGCCAAAAATCATTAAAAGACCAAGTTCAACAATGAATGAGATGGTTGTTATGAAAAATCACATGCATAAAATGGTAGTAACTCTTAAAAACCAACAAGATCCAGTGAATAAAACACTCTTACACTTTAAAGGAAAGAGGTGCTAACATGAAAAAGATGAGTCAACTTGTCCTAAAAACTGAACTTCATGCCAATTTTCACAAATAAATATATTCTAAAGGTAAGGAACTGTCATTTAGAACTACAAGATATCCACCAAATTTCGTTAAGTAACAAGAGAGCATATCTAACTTCAGAGGGACAGACAAAAGGTAACCAAGCCAATCTCTCTCTGGTTAAATTCAACTATTGTCCTTTGGCATGCACAAACTCCTAACAATCATTCAATGGTGATACTACCCTTGCACTTAATCCTCCAGAGGAGTTCATGCTACTAACAATGCACAACTTGCTATGAAGCAAATGCATGGAGGGTATACAAGATATTTACTCTTTGTATGTTCTAATCAACTTCACTTGATAAAAACATCACTTAGATATCTCTTTTACATGATGTAATCAACTTCAATTGATAAAAACATGATTTAGAAATATGTGTGTTACCCTATCTAACTTGTGTGTCGAGATAGCAAATTTTATTCATTGTGTCAACTACTTTCATCATATATATCTTCATCGCTCATACAAGATTTGACCATTTCTTTACCTTAGATGTCAGCTGTCCAATGCCACCCTCCTCTTTCTGGGCTTGGGACAGGAAAAAATAAACAAAATACGCAAATCTTAAGCAGCTTAATGTCAACAAAAGATCCACATAACCAACTCCAAATAGTTGTACAAAATTATGTTTCTCAATCGCTTCTCCACCAGCTTTGAATTACAAAATGTATCAGAAAGCTATAAGACATAAAAGGTAATGCCTGTACGGGCTTCTTCAGCAATGCTTTTACAGTTCTCGTTTCCATTCTTTTATGCCCAAGACTAACGATATGAGGGTTGAATTTTTGTCACCTTTAAAATTAATACAGAAAAACAAACGACGAATTTACTCAGATCAGATTCCTCAGAACGAAAAATGAAAGAGGTCGCACACTACAATCAAAGCCTAAATTACGACTGATTCACTACAATCACGAAAAGAGATGAAATCTTTCGAACAAAATGGGACCAAGAAATACGCTAAAAGCTTCTTCTCAAGTCAAACTCCACGTTCTATTCAAATTAAACCAAGAGACCTACAAATGAGAAGACCAAACAGAAACATCCAGCAAACCACAATAAAAACGCGAAACCGAAGAAAAAGGTAGCAAATTCGACATTGAAAATGCATGATCAGACAATGATGTCGTCCATCCGAACAAAAGGCCCAAGACAGGCAGATCTATCCAAGAAAACTCCACGCATAAACAGAGAGACAAAAAAAGAAGGGATAATCACCAAGAACAAATGCTCGAAACAACTTGCAAGAAACAAAACAATCTACAGCGACGAAGCCCAGACTATAAGAGTAAACTTTGTGATGGGACTCGATTCGATTCACAAGAACATACCTAATTGAGATCCTTCAATCCAAGATGATCGAAAGAACAGGGATCGTCCCCTTTCTAGAAGTCAAGAAACCGCCTTCACTCCCCTCTCTCGTTCCATCAACCCGTCGATCAAGGGAAGATCGGAAGCAGGAGTCTGCTTCGTTGGATAGGGTCAGGGGAGATGGACGATCAATGGAGAGAGAGAGATGGGGGAATACTTTGTGGGGGAAATTTGCCACTTTTATCACTAAATACCTGCTTTTATTCCAACTAATTACTCGTTAATTACGGGGTGGGCGCCATACTCACGGGCTGCACTCGGCTGTCTGCTCGAGGCAGCGTTTTCCAATTCCTGAATGACTATTGGCTGTTCTTCTGGGGTCAGTCCGATCATAAAATCGCAACCTCATTCCGCCCTTTTGCACCTGCCTGCTGTGTCGCCATAACGTGTCGGCTAAATACACGGCGACCAGCACCGGATCCCGCAACTAGTTGATTGACAAGAAAGGTAGACGAACAGGTAGGATGAAGGGAGGTGAGACTTGATTCCGTGCGCTCCCCACAGGGTTATGGTCACCTCGCCGGCCTCTTAATTGGTCGAGAACCCATGAATCACGGGGGTCCTGCGGGACCCGTTAACAAGACAAATCACGACGTGGTACCAGTCTGGTTCGTGGGACATCTTGACCGTCTTCGTTGCACACTGCCTCCTTCTCCATACGAGGGTCCCTTCTTCTCCCACCTTCACATTATGTGTAGTATCAGAGAAGGATTCGTCTCCACATGTATTCCAGGAGAAGAAAAAGAGTCTGAAGCAAACACCTGTGTTTTGAAACTTTCACCATTCCAAAGCAGAGACTCTTGTGATGCCAATAATGCTCCACACAGAAGTAAGAAGTTATTACTGGCAATCAGGAAACCAACAGTATGTTTGCTGCTGCTGCTGCTGCTGTTGGTGTTGCTGTGGTATGTGGATCAGTGCCGTAAGTAATTAAAACGCTGCCAAAGGAGGCATTGGTGGAAGAACATGAGCCTTTGGAAGGCGTGGGGAGTTGTGGGTTTGAGTTAATGGTGGTTTGCATCCTTTTTTAATATTCTGCATGACCCATGCAAGCTGTGCCAGAGATTTTGACAGGCTTCAGCTTTAAGGGAAGCTGCCCACCGGCGGACGGTGCACGTTACTCTCTCCAAACCATCACTGTTATATATATACATATATAAATAAAGATAAGAATAAAACTCTATGCATGCTGGCCTTTCTCCCTCCCCCTCCTCGGTGGCGTTCAACCAACTCTCTTTACTGCACATATACTTATTTTCTCTGTGCTGGATTGTGAACAGAAGAATACCCACCGCACTAGCTTTATGCTTTGCGTCAGACTCTGGGAATACATAGAGGAGGAATACTTTCCATTCCCATGGGGAAGGATGGTCATTGCTACGGTTCTACTTAGATCATTCGTTTGTTTCTCTTTTTACTGTATTGTCCAAGATGACATGGAGAAAGTACAGTACAGTCATGGTTGGAAGATGGGGTGGGTAGGAGTTAGGGTGATGATATGTTACTGTGGAGAAAAGTGTACAGTGCAATGGAGTAATATCTCCTTGGGTGTTTGCTGTGAAATCTTTTATTCCTTATCTGTTATTATTTTTATCCGATCGATATGCTATTCTTATTTGATCAATACTCTGCTTCTATCCGATCAGCATATTAGATGGTACCTAAGATTGGTAATGTAAAATAAGAAAATGTTAACTCGACCTCGCAAACTATTATTTCATAACTCTCGGGTTAAATGCACCAACCCATGCCAATTAATATTTAATATTTCTCAGCAGTCATTGTGGTCTCAACTCCACGATTGCATATCGAATCTTTCATATTGTTACTAAATTAAGTATTGGATTAGCTTAGTTTCGTAGACATTAGATTAATTTTTGAAATGTCTCGGGCCAAATCCTCTCATATTTTTGACATATTTTAACCTATGAAGTGATCATTGGCTTGCTTGCTCAAAGCTCATCTACGTAGGACAATCAAATTTTGACTTAATAGATTAAACTTTGAATGAGAACGTTTAAAATAAATCTCGTGTTGGACTCTCGAGAGTGAACTAGGAAGATCCTACTTTATTCATTTAGTGTCACATACATTCAGAATAAAAAAAATTCATCCTCATATATGCCCATCCTCAAAAATGCCTTTTGGGTCGCAAAAGCATAAAATAGTAACATTAATATCCTTAGAACAGATGAAATTATTTTAGGTATTTAACTTGATTAGTAATAAAGATTATAATTAAGTTTAAGTATCTAGGGATGACAATGGGATGGAGTGGGGAGTGCTTCCGTGTCCCCATCCTTATCTTCTCATGTGAGAAGCTCGTGAGTTCTTCGTATTCTCATAATTAATTAATTCTATTTAAAAAATAAAATTATCATCAAAGTTGATTAACAATGATAAAATTTATAAATAATAACAATAATATTTTTAAAGTTTATACATTATAATAATATTCAAATATAAATACAGCCAAATATATCCATAATCAAATAAATATAAATATATCCAAATAAATCTATAAACTAATATTTTTATTAATATTCTTTTCCAATTTTCATTCTTCCATATCTATGCAAGATGGATCGTACATAAATTAAAAAATATATAAAGTGTCTGACAATAAAAATTTAAACATAAATAATATTATTAAAATTAAATTATATATCAATCACGTTGCATTCATCTTTATCTTCTTGAAAGGATGTGAAGCATTTCGAATATTCAATTAAATATTAATTTATTACATAAGTAAGAATACTGGAGAATTAATATTGAATAAATAAAGTAAAGTATTTTCACTCAAATTAAATTTTGTACCATATATTTTATTCCATAATTGGTCTTGAACTTTTGATGAAAATTTTATTTATTTATATTTTTAAATATATTAAAAATTAAACAAGATTGATTTAGTAGTTACTGTTAAGATGTTAGAATTATAAGTATTAGATTCAATTATGTATTTTTATTTTACATCATTATTAATATATATAATATAATAATATAATAATATAATAATACAAATGAAAAAAAAAAACTAGTGTAAAGTTCTTTCTATAACGAATGCGGATAATAGAAGATGTCCCGTCCACGTATATTCCGCATCCCCATGTTATTGGAAGTGGAGAGTGAATCCTTGCAAATATCTATACTCGGTGTGGATAATTCATCTCTTGAAGGGGCTAATTACATATTTGTCCCCTATTCTTAGTTGTCTTTAGTATTCCGATCCCTACACTTAAAAAAAATTATATTAACATGCTTATAATTAAGAAAGTAAAATATTTATATTTATTTATCCTAACGACATTAGTCTTATCGACAAATACACCAAAAGCAAAGGGTAAAAGGATAATTTTAACATTTGATGAGGGATTTAGTAGTGGTGGATGGTGGCACTACTAGCGTCGACGCAATTATCTGACCACCTTGAACGACGATAATGTTCTCTCTCACCATGATGTCACCTACCTCCATGAGGACCGCATTGATTATGTTGGCATCGTTGCCTCTTTGCCCCCCAAAGGAACAAAAGGTCAAGTCCTCAAGACATGCTATCGACTCAATGCTTATGTCTCTTTCTAGGCTCTACTTATGTGCTGACACGGCCTACCTTGCCGCTGACCGATGCCCTCGTCCTCCCGGTGACAGTTGACATGAGAACGACGATGAGAAGGAGACTCAATAGTGGTGATGGTCGAGACACTCTCGGAAGGCGGATCCTTAGTCTTATCTACCCAAAGCACAACGTCATACTCTAGAATCATCCCAATGGGTCAACGATGCCACTCACCTCCATAAGTCATCGCACCGATTATCAAATTGACTAGGTTCTAAATTATATGAACGCTAGCATAGCATTACTAGTGGGAATCAACGGTGAAGAAGCAATTGAGGAAGAGGGATAAAGGTGGGATGGGACATGCTTCAAGGGTATGCTTGTAGCGCTTAGTAGTTCCATAACTCTTGGATGATGTGGTTGAGTTGGTACTTCCACTCACCTCCACCACGACAGTGTGCTTCAGGTAGATAAGGTCGAGGAGTTACCTTCCAAGAGTGTCATAACTATCATCATTCTCGAGTCTCCTTTTCATTGTTGTCCTCATGTCGACTACCATTGGGGGGATAAGGTCATCAAGCAACAACGAGGTAGGCTACGCCAATGCATAAGAGAAGCCTAGAAGGAGATGCAAGTGTTGAGCCGATAGCATGTCTCGAGGATTTGACATTTCATTCCTTTCTAGGGCAAAAAGGTAATAATACCGATGTGGGTGACACAATCCTTATGGAGGCAAGTGTCATCATGATCAGAGCATACCTTATTATCGTCGGACGCGATCAAACAATTACATCGACATCGACACCAGTAGTATCATTCTCCAGTATAGCCGATGCTATTGTCCGCCGTCACCAAGTCTACCATCGAACATTAATATTATTTTTTTTATTTTTTATTTTTATATTTTTATCGATAAAATTGATTTCATCCGAATAAATAAATCTAATTATTTTACTTTTGTATCTATAAGAATGTTAATATAATTTTTTAAATTATAAAGGTAACTAGTTATGATTAGCCCTATTGGAATGACGTGAAATGATTTCATCCGAATAAATAAATCTAATTATTTTACTTTTGTATCTATAAGAATGTTAATATAATTTTTTAAATTATAAAGGTAACTAGTTATGATTAGCCCTATTGGAATGACGTGAAATGTATGTGATTCATTCGAATCGGATCGGACGCGTGCCCAACTGGCCAGCTACATCGACTATCTCTCGTCGGATAGTGGAAGACCGGATCAAGAGACATCGGTTGAGAGGAGAGGCGGCGGCGGTTCTTCCTTGGGTGAGCAAATTTCTTGCCCGCCGCCTCTCTCGCCGTCCGTCGAGATCGACATTTCTTTGCTTTGATCCGGCCAGCGATGATGGCCCCCTCTCACGCCCATTGCCTATCACCGTCGCGGCCTCCGCCGAGCCTTGGGAGCGTCAGCCTCGGCCGTTGCGGGGGGGCTCCTCGGGCCTCCTTCGTTGCTTCTTGTTCGGAGCTGCCGTGGAGGAAATGGTGTATTGCCTCCTTCCTTGCCTCTGTAGCAGCTGCCTTCGCATCCATGAGGATGCTAATAGGTGACATTCAAATCATTTGTGATTCTTCTATTTGCCACTTTTGCAATCCTTCATTATGAAATCCATGTAGTGCCATGATTTAATTGTCCAAGAGGTAGATCAAGAGCTGCTTTTGTAGTCCCAAGTATATTTGGTTGATCTTGGTGTATCTATCAGGCCGTATATCACCAAATCTTCAATAGATACTCTATTTAATGAGAAGATATGACCAGATAAGAGGATCTGCAATGGGTATAAGAGGCTCATGATCCCGAGATTTACACCCACAGCTGCAATGGAATTCAAAAGCTTAGTTCTAATATCAGTTGTCTTTGGAAGTCTATTCAGTTTGCATCAGTGTTGAGTTAAATCAGACTTCCACAACTAAAGATTGTTATGTTGAAGAACGTTGAAAGTTGGGTAAGATTAGTACAACGTTGAAAGTTGGGTAAGATTAAGATTATTAATGCTTAACAAGGATTTGATGGGTGAAGTATTGTTAATCTTAGCTTAAGCACTTTTGAGTCCAAAATAAATCATGTTCATGCTTCTATTACTGTGGCTCCATGCTTAACAATATGAAGACGTTGAATCGCTTGGCCCCTTAATATGGATGCATGTGTATGGTGACCAGTTCAACTTGTGCTGCGCCACTGCAGCTTTCCTTCACCAACCTAGAAAAGAGCACCAGAAAATGGGAATTCAGTAGTCGATGACCTTTAAGAAAGGCTTTACGCATCACCGGATATAGACGAATATAGAGAAAGCAAGACACCGGATTTATTCATCTGTATCCAATTCGAAAGAACAAAATGATCAAATGGGTTACGAGTAATATCATGAAATTTTCATCATGAAGCAAGCTGTTGTCGTCTCATATTCACAGATGATGCGAGTGAAAAGAAAAACCTACTGTGTTGCACATCAAACAAGCTGTCGAATGTGAGAAAGATGAAGTGAGGTCAGGAAGAGATTGTGGTTTTATAGTGGAGGAGAAGAAAGAAAAATGGGAGCAGACTGAAGGAAGAGCACTTCCATGGGGGATCTTAAGTTTTCTTCTTTGTGGCAGCAAGACGTGCAGCCAGCTGATCAAATTCTGGCAGCTTTGGATGCACTCGACCGACCTTAGGATTCGATGGATCAGGCTGCATCGAAGTGGACCGAGCAGGTGCCTTGACTTCGGCTGGACTAACTGGTTCTGATGGCACTGAGATGGCCCTTTCTGGAGGAGGCACTGCTCTTCTCTGGATCAGTTGAATTTTGCTGTTCTCAGGACGCTCAAATCTATCTAGATCGACATGATTTGCTGTCCTTCTTTCCTTGATGGGATCTCTAGCTCTCCCTTTCCTGCTGTAGTGCAGCAAGAGCTTCTCCACAGCCATTTCTTCCTCATCATACTGACAATCGTTCATAGCAGCAGTATGCCTACTGGTATGTCGTCTTAGTTCATTGGATGATCGAAGCAAGAGCTTACTGTAATCTATAGCATTATCCATTTCATCACCGATTCGCGATCTTGACTCTCTAATCGCAATCTTTTCTTCCACAAAGTTTTCATCGTTGGTACCAGCGCTCCGTTTGTCCCTATGTCTTCTCTGGTCGCCAGGGGTAAAACTTACGGTCTTCTCATCATCGATCGTACCCTCCTTGATCTCAGTAACTGGTGGCCTCTGGGATTTCCTCCTCATGCAAACCGGCTTCGGCTTCTCATCACGAGAAACTCCTTGGGTACCATTAGACTTGCCATCATCTACACCAATGTTTTGAAGTGTTTGCTCTCCGTTGGTTGAGAAATCAATGACCCCAGGCTTTACATAAGGCGGAATCACATAGCGTCCTCTCCCATTGTTGTTCACTGGTCCGACTGATGGCTTTTCTACGACACTACGATCCGATGCTTCATGCCTTTGCGACCTATTATGCTTTCGGACATCACCAATTTTTCCTTCCACATGGTGCCCATTCTCGATCCAGTTCAATTTAGTGCATGGAGGAACTGTACCATCTCCTCTTGTTTCTTCCACATGAAATCGACTATCAATCGACTTGGCGTATGGAGGAGCCACATTCGCAAGTCTCACATTCTGAGATTTCACTGAGCCAACTTCATGCTTCTCAATACTATGATGCTGCTCCTTTTGCACCTTTTCTGTCCTACTCTGGAGATAATCAACTTTAATCTCATCATTTTTACGTATTCCATCATGATTTCTCTTATGTTTAACAAATGGCCGAACTGCATTATCAGTTTGATACAATTCAGTATTCTCTGTACTTGTTGGTTTCTCCACCTGATCATGCGATTGCCTATTTATAGTAGTTGGAATCACATGAATGTCTTTCTGCTCCACTTCCCCTCCTTGTTTTCCAACAGCACTTACAGGATTAGAGCCATATTTTCTCTTGGATGGACTCTCCTCTTTTGTTGGGGCCTTCGCAGAGGAAGAAGCTCCATTATCTACATCATGTGAAGCAGCAACTTCCTTAGGTCGAGTCTGCAGGAACAAGAAAAGTTTCTTCAAAGCAAGTCCTTCAAACAAAATCATTCGATGTGAAAAAGCAATCAAATTCTTAAACTACAGTAGCAAATCAGCTGTTTCTGTGGAACTTACAGATTTAGGTTTGGGGGCATTGTGTGATTGGAGACAGGATGTCTTAGGATCCCATCTTAAGGTGAACTCTTCTGCAATATTTTGCAGTAGCTGCAGCTTCTTTTTCTTTGAAAATGACTTTTCCTGAATTTTCTCAACAAACTGGACAGAAAATTGTGCTTATCGAGAATAGAAAACAATTGAAAGATTGGTTTTAATTGGAAAAAAGTGGCAAAAGGATTGGCACCTCTGCTTTTACAGATGACTCCATATGACTCCCATATCGTTCTACAAAAGCATGCCTGAGATCACACAACTCTGGTAAATCTGGAAATCTTGCTGCAGCAAAAATTAGAGTTGATATTGCTTCCATGGCTTCCTGAGGACATTCCCTGTTAATCAAAACAAATGAAATATGCATCACCATGGCATTACCAATAAACTAATAAAAGGGGGAAAAGATAGCAGATTAAAATCTTCAATTTAGAAACATCATTAGCCTTTTTATCATGATTCTTTAGTCCAACTTGGTCTCTGGTATGAGAAAATCAATGGCAGCACATGATATTATTGACATGAATAACTTACAAAACAAATACGCTAACGACACATGGTTTACCAGTAAAAGCGTCGATGCGACCGATTACACTCAAGAATTTGTTTATCAGAACGTTAAAGGAAGGTTCCATCGGTAATCCTATGACAGTGTGGAAGTTACTACACATTCTCTCATTTACAAGACAATATAACATTATCAGAAGGTGAAACTGACAGAGCATAGCAAATCCAGAAAACTAAGAGGACGAATCATAAATAGGATATCTGAAAACAAAATGTACTCGATGGATCTGATTAGGGATACAGATTAAGAATACATACTCATTACTTTCTTCTCAAGTTTTGCTTGGATTTATATATATATTAGGATGACTCGGATTATATTTCAGGCTTATGCTCAGCTAGGTGTCAGTTCAGGCAGTGGATTATAAATGCCATTTTTGGCACACAAGTTCTGAAGATTCTTATATTGTTTAAAGCTTAAACAACTAATATAAAGATTAGTTGACTGGCAAAGTGACCTTACAAAATCCTGAACCTATCAACTTGCGTCGCAACACGAAGCAAATCAATTTACTAAAATCTCGAGGACTCTGAACGTGTGAATATACCGGTAAAAGTACATGGTAAAGGAATTTGTGTAATTCATATGGTTAGATAAATTTTATGAGATGCATTTATATGAGTTTCAAAATGGCAGATAACAATCTTTGCAGAGTTTGTTTTAATTATATACAAGAAATTTGTGGATACCTCTGCTTTCGTAGGCTCGGAAGCTGACTCAAGATATATTGGCAGAATTGCTCAATCATGTCATAGCAGGATGCATGATTCATCTCAACAATAAGTGCATCAATCTATTCCAGAGAAACAAAACTATGCAAAAGTGAGTTAGAGACATGATAGAATTGTATATGAAATATAGAAAATTAGTAGTATATATTCTAGCAGAATCACCTAGTCAGCCGATGAATCACAATGCAAAAATCAGAAAAAAAACAGAGAATCATGAATTGAAATAGTCGAAACCTTTTTGATTTTCAACCTAAGGCTAGTGAGCAAAATGACACCAAACAAACTGATCTGGATGATCGAGCATGGACATCATTTTATCAAAAAAAGTTCGCGTCGAGAATTGATGCCGACCGATTTCAGTTGTTCAGTAATCAAGCTGGAAGCCAAATTTTCACAGAACAGGCTAAGCAAGCTCAACCAGTAGGTTGGCAGGTAGGATGACCTACCTTCATTAAATCTTAGCTCCACACTAATAAGGTCAAAACATAAAGTTCCCTATCATCATCTGCAAGTTGCAATCTGGTCTCTACCAGAAATCTAGGAACATCCATTGTGGTATTTGCTGGACACAATGATTAAGAAAAACCCTAGCTGAAATGGTCATCCTTTCCCACAGTTCTTGCTACCAGCATTTAATTCCATAGAAGGAAGCCAAAATCTGAGAAATGGTATGCGTCTGCAACAAAATTCACAGCATGTTCCTGTCTTCTTCCTATTGCACATCCAGGCCACAAATGATGAAGACAATCAAAAGAATTCAAAGAAAGATCACAAGGCACTAATAAATATGTGTGCATTCCATCAGTCACAGTATTGGCATAATATTTTCAAGAACCCACCAAGAACAAAGCAACGGAAAAGAAAGTAAACCAAGTAAAAGATAGCAAATGAGTCCCTTGTTTTCTCTCGAAGACTTGTGCAATCCAAGAATCACAATCATGACATGATCTTCCAAGGAAACTTCAAGAATGAATGGACAAGAAAGAAGGGAGAACCCAAACCATATAACGGAGAAAAGAAGGGAAGTCGAAAAAGAATTGCTTCTTTTTTGACATTTTCTTGAACGAGAAATCGAATAAAGCCGAGAGAGAGATGGTACCCTTCCGAACGCAATGGCTTCATGGCCGGCGGCGATGAGGCCGGCGACGTCCCTCTTGAGGCACCTCACCACGGCCTGCTTCTTGTTCCGGATCGGCCCCATCCTCGCCTTGATGAATCTCACCGCGTGCTTGCTGCCACCCCAATCAACCCCCATCAGAACGACCCTTAAGAACACCCGCAAGAACAACCAAGAACCGAACCACATGATTAAAGAAAGGAAATTGTTACCATTTGTTGGAGAATTTGCCACCCAGCAAGCTGCACAACATCTCTCCTTCCCCTCCCGATGCCTCCCTCTTCTACCGTCTATCTTCCTCGGCCCCGCGTCAACAGGAACCGAAGGGGGAATG